CGCCTGTGATCCCAGCACTTTGGGAGGCCAAGGCAGGCGGATCACTTGAGGCAAGGAGTTTGAAACCAGACTGGGTGACATGTAATCCTAGTCTCCCAAAGTGCTAGGATTACAGGCATGAGCCACTGCACCGGCTACTATACTAATATATTTTTGATGCAAATTGAACTTTTCATTCAGGTATAAATAAGCGTGAGCTAAGTAAATGGTTAATAATAGGAGTTGACTTACATGCTTGCATTTATTTATTATTTTCATTTACTTACAACTCTGTGTTTGTGGGAAAGTGCAGTAAAGATGCTGAGTACAAAAACTTTGTATTTATTTGCAGGGCATATCTGAATACTTTTATTTAATTAAATAACCAAAGTTCCAAATTATAAACCTACAATCATGGCCAGACATGGGAGTTTAAAGATTTCGTGGCTTGGGCTGGGCACAGTGGCTCACGCTTGTAATCCCAGCACTTTGGGAGGCCGAGGCGGGTGGATCACGAGATCAAGAGATCGAGACCATCCTGGTCAACAAGGTGAAACACCATGTCTACTAAAAATACAAAAATTAGCTGGGCATAGTGGCACACGCCTGTAGTCCCAGCTACTCGGGAGGCTGAGGCAGGAGAATTGCCTGAACCCAGGAGGCGGAGGTTGCGGTGAGCCGAGATTGCGCCATTGCACTCCAGCCTGGGTAACAAGAGCAAAACTCCATCTCAAAAAAAAAAGATTTCGTGGCTTGACCAAATGCTGGAGGTGAGTTGTATGGATTTGGTAGCAAACTGCAGATTCATTTAGGAGGGCTGCTGTCATCAGCCATAAGATATCAATCATGTATGTGTTATTTTACTCATTACTGAACACTTCTTACTGAGTACTTGTTCTAGAAGCCCTCCCAAATTAATTATCCCTTCCAAACTTTCCCAGTAAGATCAAGGGCCTCATCTTTTATAATCATAGCTAAAGTGTTAATCCTTTCATGATTTATATAGAGAAAAATAACCCTATTATGGAAAGTTACTTGTATTTTCCTCACGGCCAAAATTTTATTGATCACAGTTTTCCAAATGTGGATTTGAATATAATCTCTTAAGATAGTTAAAGAAATTTTAACCCATGTTGTCAAATGTTAGGAAGTGGTTATAGTAGAAGCTTGTTCTTTGGAATTTTATTCATAAGAGAGTTGAAAATGTGAACAGCTCAACAACAATTGTACTTAATTATTTAGCTTAAGTTACTTGGTAGTTTTAAATGCAAGAAAAGGAAAGAGACATATTAGAGAAAAGAATTGGATATTGTGAGCATGAAGGAAGTTTTCTAAGAGCATTCCTGCCAAGGGGAGCAGAGCAGCAGTGGAGTGGCTTGCTGGGCAAATGAGGTCTAAAAGAAATAGCTGTTACTTAAATAAAATGAGATTATAGCCACATGCTTGCAGGCCGATAGGAAAATTCCATCAGAAAGAGAGAAAACTTGATGATAGAGAAGAAAAAGGGAAAATTGTTGGATGTCTTTGAGTAGGTGACTATGAGTGAATCTGCTTCACAAGAAGTGACTTATATTTTTGAGACAGAGTTTTGCTCTTGTAGCTCAGGTTGGAGTGCAATGGCATGATCTTGGCTCACTGCAACATCCACCTCGCAGGTTCAAGCAATTCTTCTGCCTCAGCCTCCCGATAGCTGGGATTATAGGCTCATGCCACCACACCTGGCTAATTTTTTGTATTTTTAGTAGAGACGGGGTTTCAATGTGTTGGACAGGCTGGTCTGGAACTCCTGACTTCAGGTGATCCGCCTGCCACGGCCTCCCAGATTGCTGGGATTACAGGGGTGAGCCACCGTGCCCAGCCAGAAGTGACTTTGTAAGCACAGGGATCATCCATCATTTCAGGTGGAAAGCAGAAGATTAGGGTTTTACAATGCCTAGGAGAGGAGTGAGGTCCTAAGACAATAGGAACCCCTCCACATTTTAGAGTAAGAAGCCAACTTGGGGGTTCTCTTGTGACTCTTTGGGGAAGGAGGGGTTTGTAGCCTCCTTGCAGTTTTCTGGGGTCCCCCAGAGTATGAGAAGTCATTCAAACTGCTGCTGTCTCTTCTAAGTTTGCATTGAGTTGTTGTTGTTGTTGTTGATTTTGAGTACGTGTCCTTCCCTGAAAATGTGCAGTGACTTTCTAAATTTTCCGGGACATGCAGCTGCTTTTGAAAATCCTTATCCCGCCGGGCGCGGTGGCTCAAGCCTGTAATCCCAGCACTTTGGGAGGCCGAGGCAAGTGGATCACGAGGTCAAGAGATCAAGACCATCCTGGTCAACAAGGTGAAACCCTGTCTCTACTAAAAATACAAAAATTAGCTGGGCATGGTGGCGCGCGCCTGTAGTCCCAGCTACTCGGGAGGCTGAGGCAGGAGAATTGCTTGAACCCAGAAGGTGGAGGTTGTGGTGAGCCAAGATCGTGCCATTGCACTCCAGTCTGGGTAACAACAGTGAAACTCCGTCTCAAAAAAAAGAAAAAGAAAAAGAAAATCCTTATCCTTAAATGTCTGGCCCCACATGGCAGGGGGAAGGAAAATTACAGAAGAAAAAAACAAAATAAGAAAATCCAGGCATTGGCCCTCTCTATTCCCTTAAGCCTCTTCAGGTGATGAAGGTTTGCAACCATGATGGTCCAGCTCTGGGACTGCACCCCACCATGAGAAGCAGCAATGGAATCAGAACACACAATCCCCAAATTTGGAGGACAAGGTCCTTAATGGTCATTGTAAGCAGCTGTCTGCTATAGGGCTGAGAGATGGGGGACAGGTAGGTACTAATCTGCTAAGGGCTGAAATTAACTAAAATTAGCTATGATTTGCTAACCAAGCCTTTCCCTGTAAGCTGCATCTTTGAACAGACTCATGTTCCAAAACAGTTACCAAAACAGTTACATCACTCAGGTTTGAATCTCTTAACAACCCTTTCCAGCATAAATACTTATATGAAACTTTTCATATACTTACATGTATATAAAACTTGCATGTCCCCAAAGTGCAATACAACATTGTAAAAACATCTGTGTGAAGAAAAGCCTTGAATTATATTCATATTGCAAAAGTTACAGAACACAGGCACACAAGGTACACTTTGAAAATACTCCAGGTGGCAGCCAGGGGCTTGCTATGTGAAGTACCTCTGGAGTACAGTGGCACTATCCTGGCTCACTGCAACCTCTGCCTCCCAGATTCAAGTCATTCTTGTGTCCCAGCCTCCTGAGTAGGTAGAACTACTACAGTGTGCCACCACGCCTAGCTAACTTTTATATTTTTAGTAGAGACAGGGTTTCACCATGTTGCCCAGGCTGACCTGCCTCGGCCTCTCCAAGTGTTGGAATTACAGGTGTGAGGCACTGCACCTGGCCTCTGTTTCTTTTTACTACATACAAAGGCGGAACTAACAATGCTGTTGGTTCTGTGGTCAAGTGATGTTCTAGCATATTCAACTGTGACATTTTACCGTGTGTGTGAGTTCTGTGTTTACATGTACTTCACAATTTTACCCAGTGAAAACGGCCTTAAGTAATCCACCCAACTCAGCCTCCCAAAATGCTGGGATTACAGGCATGAGCCACTGCTCCCAGCTGGGTAAATTTTCTACTCCATAGGATTTTTTTTTTTTTTTGAGACGGAGTTTCACTCTTGTTATCCAGGCTGGGGTGCAATGGTGCGATCTCGGCTCACCACAACCTCCGCCTCCTGGGTTCAGGCAATTCTCCTGTCTCAGCCTCCTGAGTAGCTGGGATTACAGGCACGCACCACCGTGCCCAGCTAATTTTTTGTATTTTTAGTAGAGACGGGGTTTCACCATGTTGACCAGGATGGTCTTGATCTCTTGACCTCGTGATTCACCCACCTCGGCCTCCCAAAGTGCTGGGATTACAGGCGTGAGCCACCGCGCCCGGCCAATTTAAATACCTTAAAATAATCCTTCTGTATGTCAGCAAAGCTTTGATCAAAGAAAAATTAAAAAATGAAATGTTTATCTTGATAAATTAGAGGAATATTTAATATCCTTAAGATAAGAGGTCTAATTTTATAATTAAAACCAGGTCATTATAATAGAAATTCATGTAAGAGCACCAATGTACAACTCAAAAACGAGGGAGACTGTTGTGTAGATGTTACCATTTGATTAAATCTACTCTTGAGATGGATTTGACCTGTATCTGTTTGGTTGTTATCATTAAAGATGTTGGTGTAAATGGGCTAGTTTCTTCAGTTTCAATTTAAATATGTTAAGTAGGCCGGGCTTGGTGGCTCACACCTGTAAGCACAGCACTTTGGGACGCTGAGGTGAGCAGATTACCTGAGGTTTGGAGTTCCAGACCAGCCTGCAGGCCAACATGGTGAAACCCTGTCTCTACTAAAAATACAAAAAAGAATTTAGCCAGACATGGTGGTGGGTGCCTCAGCTTCTTGGGAGGCTGAGGCAGGAGAATCACTTGAAGCCAGGAGGCAGAGGTTGCAGTAAGCCAAGATTGCACCACTGTACTCCAGCCTGGGCGACAGAGTCAGACTCTGTCCCCCGCACCCCCCCAAAAAAAGTAAATATGTAACTGACTTTTGCCTTACCTGACTGGTTTTCAACAATATGCACCCCCTCTTCCTCCACTGTTTGGCCTACCTAACACCAATTCCAGGAAAGCCTACTGTTCTTTCTGAGCAAGGAGGCTGGGATGCCTTAGCTTTACTTAATCTACCTTGAGGGAGGGACAGTTCTTCCCTCAAGCATATTTTTATTTAGAAATTGTTTCATTTGGACATCTTTTAGATCATGGAGGTGCTTTTTATGTTTTACTGAACATACAACTTCAGGGATGGGCCACGAAACTAGGAGAATATCCACATTTAATTGCCTAATGCCTCCCCAAAAAGTATTTTTGCTTTAAAACAAAGTAGAAATGTCGTATGTTTTTTGCTTTTTCATTTGGCCGAATCAACAGTGACTATAAACCAAAAAATGAGCTAAATAAATCAAAACTACTTTCTTCTGGAGGTTTATTTTGCATTAAACAGTTGAAGACAGATTACAATGAGACATTGTACAAAAAGACTAGAAAATAATTTAAGAGGGTATTTTAAGCATGGGATTCTGACACACTCATAAACGTGTTTGCTCCCAAGCTCTTACTACAGAGAATAAGGTTTTTCTCCATCAAAAATAACCCAAGTTACACCAGTAAATCTTCCCAGTTCTGAAAATCTGAAGCAACTGATAGATACTCCATTAAATGTAGAAACATTGTCTACTCAAAATATTTGTAATATTATGCAGTGACAAACATTGCCCACATATATACAGGATTAACCATAGTTTTCAGCAAAGCAGCAAGTGCTTTACTGATTGTCTTTTTCAGTTTATAGGTAACTCCAATTTCATGAAACCATACTGTACCAAGCCAGCAAATAGCCGCAGCCTCGCCAAGCCACGCCAACGGCAGGGACCCTATCTCCTGTCCTTTTTGCCAGCTTTCCTCTTTCCAGAGAGTAAGTGCTTGGGCTTCATATCAAACACATGTCTATCTGCCTCCCCTTTCTTCCCCAACCGATTCATCTTCTTCTGAGCATTCTTCATCATAGTCTTGGCTTTCTTCACCATCTAAAAAGAAGAGAAAAAATTACATTCATTACTTAAAACCAATTTTCCATTCTGAAATTTAACTGCTGGTGACAATGTTTCAATGGCTCAGGCTGCTCCGTGAAGAGGCCCTGTTACATCTCTTTTCTCTTAGGCCCAGAACAGTATCTGCAGGAACCCAGTGAATATTTCTGTATAAAGACTGGTTGAAAATCATACCTAGGACAGGTTTTATAGCCAGGACTAGATACATTTTAGACCTAGAAGTTTAGAACACACCTGTCTAACTCCCTCTTACACAAGCCAGGTTTCACGATGGAAATGGCACAGGGGAGTGAAACTCAGGCTTCCATGAAGGAGACCTCGGCAGTTTATAAAGAGACTTTCTCTGGCACCTACATGTCCACAATGCTGAAACTACAAGTTTTTGTGTTTAATAAAAGGACATTTCAGCAAGAGAGACTGTACATCTAAAGTGTCTTTGCCAAAAGACACTACAAATGAGCTAAATGTGACTCAAGCTCTCCATTTGGGGGGAAACAATCCTGCAACCAAAGGGTGAGCATGATCCACCAGTCAACCCAGCAGTTCCCATGGGCTTTCTGGGACTGGAGGACTCCTGGTGCTTAGCAGTGCTTGCTGGCCCTCTTCAGACAGCAGGGCCTGATCTCAGACTGCAGGTCCTGTCAACCGTGCTCTGCCCCCACTCTGAGGAAGGAAAGCTCCAGGGGACTGGTCCATCCAGGACAACTGTCCAGGGGCGTCTGCCTGCACTCTGGCCCAAGCTCTCCTCTAAAGGATGCCACAAAATGAGGGCACACAACCCCTGCCGTAGCCCCTGCAAATGACAGCCGCTGGTGTCTGCCCTGAACCCTGTGCAGTAAACAGCAGAGACTGTTATTTTATTCCATTACATGGCACAAAAACTGACCTTGACATCCCGAAGACCAGAAACGTCACGTGGAGTTCGAGAGCAACTCCGACTCCGACTCCGGGCCACAGAGGAGGGGGGAGCAGAGTCTTCCCGCTTTCTTTTCCTAGTGACACTCCGGGATCTTCTTGCCTGGACTGCGTAGTGGGCCTGCAAAGCAGGGAAAGCAACGCTCAGTGCTCAGGACCCCAGCCCCGCCTCTAGGCTCAGCAGCAGACATGCGGTCACCCCAGCAAGAGGGGAGGAAAGAAGTGTTTGAACCATTACCACATGGGCTAAAGATCTTAAAAATATACACAGTATTTTCATATTAGTGATATTTTCCATGTCAATTTCACATTAGTAACAATTTCACATTAGTTATTGGTCAAGTATTGTTATTCGCTTAACAGAAGCTGCTTTATGTAAGAAAGCCGACTTTAACTCCACTTAAACTCAAACTCTCATTTAAAAATGATTATTAGAGTATCACATCACAATTTATATTTCAGACATAAATAAAGCTCTCTCCCTCATCGCCCCATTTTTGGGGTTACTGATACGAACACAAAGGGACAATCATCAGACAGAAACTGCAGACTACACATCTAGAGGACAGGGTCTGCAGCCACATCCAGGCACATCACGGCACTGCCTCGTGCTGCCTGTGGATTTTTTTCTTTTTGAGACAGAGTCTTGCTCTGTCACCCAGGCTAGAGTGCAGCCTCAACCCGCCACTTCAACCCAGACCCAGGGTCAGGGAATCCTAAACCCACCACTTCAAACCAGCTACAGGGCCAGTGAATTCTCAAACCACCACTTCAACCCAGACTGAGGGTCAGGAAATCCTCAAGCCATCACTTCAACCCACACCCAGAGCCAGCAAAAATCTCAAGAGAAAAACTGGAAGCTCTCATTGCTTTTAGCTATAATTTCCCACGGCTTTCCAGGACATTGGTTTTCTTTTTTTTTCTTTTGAGAGAGAGTCTCGCTCTGTTGCCCAGGCTGGAGTACAGTGGCACAATCTCAGCTCACTGCAACCTCCACCGCCCGGGTTCAAGCAATTCTCCTGCCTCAGCCTCCTGAGTAGCTGGGATTACAGGTGCATGCCACCATGTCCCGCTAATTTTTTGTATTTTTTTAGTGGAGATGGGGTTTCACCATACTAGCCAGGCTGGTCTCAAACTCCTGACCTGATGATCCACCTGCCTCAGCCTCCCAAAGTATTGGGATTACAGGCGTGAACCATGGCGCCCAGCTGGTTTTATTAAAAAGGTGAATCCAGCCATATGAACACGTGAACTGCCCCCCACACTCACGTTGTCTTTATCGTCCATGTCAACACCAAGACTACGCATCTCATTCTCCAAAACTGTCCTCTGAACCTGAGAAGAAAAAAATGACATATTTTCTTTAAGTAAAATTAGTTTGATGAAATGTTGAAAAAACTTCATAGGAAAAAAAAAATATATATATATACATATATATTCCAACAATTATTTTAGAAGTTGTAATTTTTACTGGGCCTTGCTTTCATGTTTTTGGATAGCTCAATTAAATCCCATGAAAACTAACATTTATGGAGCAATTGCTGTGGTAAGACATGGCATATCCTCCACGTCTGTCTACTCTTCACCACAACATGGGAGAGAGTGACCGTCTCCATCACAGGTGAGACACTAAAGCTGAGGTTAGCAAGGTGGCCTAAGACAAAGGCAGTGTGCCAACCTCTCTCCTCCCAGGGATGGCTGAGCCCCACCCAGAAAAGTACAAAAATGTCCAAGTCCACCATAACCAGTCACTTGCCACCATACGAAAACGATGTATCCTGAATGTCAAGTTGCTTCCCCTCCAGTTACATGTTAACTGCCCTCTACCTGGTCTTTCTTTTGCCCCATCCCACCCTGCCACAGAGCCAACAAACTGCCTTTTGAGTCAGGTTCCTGTAAATTGCTAAAGAGTCCAGATTTAATGCAGCAATTAAAGAGCAAGAAAATCAGCCAGGCGTGGTGGCTCATGCCTGTAATCCCAGCACTTTGGGAGGCCAAGGTGGGCAGATCACTTGAGGTCAGGAATTTGAAACCTGCCTGGCCAACATGGTGAAACCCCGTCTCTACTAAAAGTAAAAAAAATTAGCCGGGTGTGGTGGCAGGTGCCTGTAATTCCAGCTACTCAGGAGGCTGAGACAGAAGAATCACTTAAACCTGGGAGGTGGAGGTTGCAGTGTGTCAAGACTGCACCACTGCACTCCAGCCTGGCCAGCACAGAAAGGCTCCGTCTCCAAAAAGAAAAAATAAGAACAGGAAAATGTTAACTGATTGCCTTAAACACTGATGCCTTGAACAGATAAACAATTTTTATCTGTACAACTGCAAAATGACTGGATCCATAACAGTGCTAAACTCGAAGCTGAAAGTCACCAAGAAAGGACACAGTAACCAGAATATAAAAGATCAGGACGTGAGCCATACTGCAAATCCACATACACCAACCAAAGAAGAATGTGCAATCTTATGGCCATAAATGGTAAATAATGGCCATAGATTTATTTAGCAATGTTACACAGGAATCCAATTTTCAAAAAATAAATCACATCTCTTTAGAAAGACACAAACTTGCCTTCTTAGCAGTTCGAGGCATCCTGGGTCCCTGTGTATTCTTTTCTTTGGACTCCAGAATTTTCAACTTCTTCTTCTCTCTAATCTGCTTTGCCAGCTGTCGAATCTCCAGCATCTCCTCATCTTCACTCTCAGAGTCACTGTCATACTCTCCAGCAGCTGTTCTCAGCTCTTCTTCTTTTTCTAATTCTTCCAATTTCTTTTAAAATAGAGTTGTAATTAATCAAAATTAACAGTGCACAAAGTCCTAAGTGAGTGAGTGTGGCAGCATGTGTAGGAGAGCTGTTTCCCTGCCTTGGAGGATGGAGTGAATGCCCTGGTCCGGTCCCACCTGGCCCTGCCTATCTATGCACAGTGTAGCTCACAGGGCGGGTTCCATGATGAAAATGGACACCACATGAACACCAGCTGCCAGCAAGTCAGTAACTGCTGTGCACCATTTTCCTTCTTTAAAACAATGAAACTCCAAGGCTTAAAATGTGCAGAGACCGCCCCCCTGACTTCCAATGCTCCCAGCAGACACACAAAAGGAGCTTAGTCCTGAGAAACAGAATTCGTGCCACGTCCCATGTATCCATTCTAACCTCACCGCAGATACCGCCTTACTGGCTACTTTTTTCATATGACAAAAATGACAAGGAAATACATGCAGGTTCATCACACCCTAATGAAGCAACCTGGTCAGGAGCCCAATAGGCAGATGTGCCTGTGTGAGACTCTGCCCAGGAGCACAGAGGGTGAAGTTGGGCGGCCAGGCCTCACAGAAGGGGATGACATGGTCACAGTTGGATCGGAGGAGGGGAGAACCAAGGCTTCTCTCGCCCAGGAGCGTGGACGGCAGAGGGAAAAGGCTGGGAAAGCAGGTGGCCACTGTAGTCAGTGAGGGCGCAGGCTGGACGAAGGCCCCAGCAGTGGCGAGAGCAGATGCCCTGAGGTGACTCCTCGGGCACCAACAGAATTGAGATACTGCCCCAGAATCTGCTATGGAGGTGCAAGGAGCACAGAGACACGAGACTGAAAACATGAACTAGACTACCGAGCGCCTATGGGAACCACGGGGTGGAAACAGGACACGCAGCCGGCAAGTACTGTACGTAGCATTTTCCAAAAAGCTCAACTAAAAGAAAAAGACAGATAGCAACTAACGGGGGACATGTTTAAGTATGTTTTTGTTTTTTAAAAAGATGAATAAAACTTGTGAACATTTATATGCTAAGAAAAAGCAAGTAGGGAGGGGAGTGAGGCAGGAAAAAGATGTGACAGAGCAGAGCTCCCGAGAAAGAGGGCCCAGCACAGAGCCCAGCACAGAGAGCCCAGCCAGTGCCAAGTGTTTCCACCAGAGTCTCGGGGTGCAAAAGAGGTGCAGGAGAATGAAGGGGACGGGCACAGCGTCTCCATCAGAGTCTCGGGGTGGGGAAAGTAGTGCGGGGGCAGAGTCTGGATGGAGGCAGTGGGTGTAGGAGAATGAAGGGGACAGGCACAGCAGTACTCAGCCAGGGCGGAGCGTCTCCACCAGAGACCCAGAATGGGGAAAGTGGTGCTCGGGCAGAGTCGGGATGGAGGCAGTGGGTGTAGGAAAATGAAGGGGACAGGCCCGGTTGAGCCAAAGCTGTGCTGCTATCTTCCAGCAGTAACATTATAATTAAAAAAAAAAAAAAAAACCCACAATTTAAAAAGTGACACAAACCTTCATGATGGCTGGATCAATATAATCAGCTATATTATGGCCTTCCCAGATTTCTGGTATCTTATCATGTTTTTCAGACGAATTCATTAAATCCCAGTACTCTAAAGTTAGAAAAAAGTGGTCACATTTACAGTAGCTTTTAATTTCTTCAAGTACTATGTGCGTAAAATGAGTTGCGACTGATGGCAAGTCATGTGACTCCACCGCATGAGAGCACTGCATGCAATTCCACGTGCGGTGCCGTGTACAGCATCACCCTTATTCAACACCCACATGTGCAAGAACTACAAAAACCACCCTACCATCCCAAAACAACAGAAAATAATGGAAGAACTCTCACTGAGTGCTGTCAACTTTTTTTTGAGACAGAGTCTCGACTCTGTCATCCAGGCTAGAGGGCAGTGGTGTGATTTCTGCTTACTGCAGCCTCAACCTCCCGGACTCAGGTGATCCTCCCACCTCAGCCTCCGATGTAGCTGGGACTATAGGCACACATCACCATGCCCGGCTGATCTTTGTATTTTTTTGTAGAGACAGAGTTTTGCCAGGTTGCCCAGGTTGGTCTCGAACTCCTGAGCACAGGTGATCCAAAGTGCTGTGATTATAGGCATCAGCCACTGCACCTGGCCCTCAGGATACAACTTTTACTCTTCAAGAAATTAAAAGTTGATAAATAGGCTAAAACACTTTTACTCATTAAAGTCTTTTCCCACTTTTCTGAAATATTTCATGTGTAATCGGCATTTTAAAATAATGACCACACTCTGGCCCTTACTCTGAAGATCCAAAATATAATCATCTCCCATTTCCAGCTCAAGATCTCGTTCCTGCAATGGAAAGAGAAATTATCATCAGCTTCATTTTGCCTTTCAGTGCTCTGCCCCTTCTTGTCTTATGAAACCACCTCTCTCCAGCCTCTCACTATCAGTAGGCTCACCTTCCATGACCTTTAGTCCTCTGCCCCTTCTTGTCTTATGAAACTGCCTCTCTCCAGCCCTCTCACTATCAGTAGGCTCACCTTCCATGCCCTTCAGTGCTCTGCCCCCTTCTTGTCATATGAAACCTCCTCTCTCCAGCCCTCACAGTATTAGCAGGCTCACCTTCCTTGACTGGTAGGGAGGCTGTTTCTGGCCATCTGTGGACTGTCTGTCCTACTCATTCATTTTGTTCTTCCCTCAAGCCAGAGCTCCACGAGAGGGGCTTCTGCGGGGGGCTCACTGCTGTGTCCACAGCCTGACACCTGGACACCCGCGGCTCCGCTTCAATGCCCCAGGCCCCTGCCCGCCCCCATGAGAACTCCAGGTGAGAGCTCCGGCAGCATACCCTCTTTTTCTTGGGCTCCTCCATTTCCATTCTCTTCCTGCGTGCCACCACTCCTTCAGGGATGAAAGGGGGCCTCTCCTGAGAAGACATCAAGTAAGTATTTACGTGGAACGCCTGCTGAATGAGATACTTACAAAACCAAAAAAGTAGAAGCAAATTCCCTATATGCAAGGGGAAGAGAAGACCACACCCAGACCAATTAATACCAACAGATTATTTTAGGGGAGAGGAGTCAGTTTGAGCACGGAGACCAGGAGGACTCCACAAACTGATCCCAAAGTTTATTCAGGAAAAAATGAAATCATGATTATCGTGAAAAATTATGGAAGAAAGTGATAAGAAATAACGGTGGATCAACAAATTAAAGAAATTTAGACATAAACTCAAGTGCGTATAAGAATTCAACAGAAAGATACGACAAATATTCAATACTCAGGTCAGAATGACTTAGCAATGAATGATAGACCTTTCTATGCATGATGCAAACCTCAACAGTCAGAAATAAAATATTAATATATGTTAATAGTTCAAAAATGTACAACTCATTTGAGGTTAAAAAGGCAAGTGACAGAAAGAGAAAAAAATATTTATAATGTATCTGACAAGTATCCAACCTCTTTAATATAAAAATAACAAATCAGTGAGTAAAAAATAACCTAAAGAACTGAAAAGGCCAATAAGCAGACAAAAGCACTTACCCGCACCCATCGTTACAGAAACACACAACAATAAAACCATTTTTACACCACAAGATGGACAGAGTTAGCAACCAACCGCATCGAGGACATAAGGAAAGATACAGCCCCCAATGCCAGTGAAGCACAAACCAGGAGGGAGTTTGTGGGACAGCAACATTGTCAGCACCACATCGTGAAGTCCAGACACATTTGCAATAAAACATTAAGACACAGCACAATGATGTGCACCCATCCACAAAGGACAAATAATTAAAATCTATTATTTACGTTTTTTTAAAATAGAGACAGGATCCCACTATGTTGCCCAGGCTGGTCTTGAACTCCTGGGCTTAAGTGGTCCTCCCACCTTGGCCTCCCAAGTGCTGGGATCACAGGCATGAGCCACCTCACTCGGCCAAAGAAATCAAAATTTAGAGAATAAAACAGATTTCCAGCTGTGTTTATAGACTTTTTAAAAATTAAGCTTCTATCAGAAACATTTCTAGAAGGATAAACTAGACTAACGGTGATGCGTCATGAAGTGAGAAGCGGGTGCCACACGGCGCTTTGCACTTTTCTCCACCTTCTTGATTCTTTACACAAGAAGGTGAAACTGAGGCCCACCCACAATATCCACCAGTGTGTGTGTGAAACTGGATCTGAGGCTTCTAGAAAAGGCCCATGGAGGGCATCTGTCCCAGGGTAAGCCGTCTTACCTTATCGTCCCTCCTGGTTGGGACAGCCAGGTGTAGTCTATTCAGCACCTCATTCACTTTATTTCCCTTCATTTTGGTTTCCACTCGATGAGCCAAAAGCCTATTGCAAGCCTAATAATATAAAAAGCAAAGTCACCAACGCATCCTACAGCAGCTGCTTTAGGCTAAAATTGTCTGGGGTGGGAACAGCAAAGCATCCCCTCAAACCACTGTCCACTGGGGAAAGTGGGTCTTGGAGGGGTCTCTCTTCATGCCACTCATCTCGCTTCTGTGAGGGCTCCAAGTGTTAATAATGTCTAGAAAGAAAACTCTTATCCCGACAACTGACTTTAATCAAACAAGAGAAAGACAGTAAAAAGACTGATACCTGACTTAAGGCAGCACTGACCTCTGTTTTAACTTTAATAACACCTTCCTCAGTCAAGGTGCTGGTCTCTATTACAGGGAATCCTTCAGCCTGCAAATTTGTAAATATTTTCTGGGAATGCAAAGAAAAAATGAGAGATATATTATTGATTTCCAGTTCCCGACAGAACAAACTGTAGAGTTCTGCAGATGGAGGTTGCAAATGTGAACTGTTCAACATATGTGGCTGTTTCAAACTCTTAAAAAACAGACATATCCTAAAAAGTTCCTTTCCTCATATTCTTCAATGATTAAGAAAATACAAATGACATCAACAAGATGGCCAACTAGTAGCCCCTCACATCTGTCCCCAAAACAAAGGTAGTCAGAATAACGAACGACTACATATGAATAACTGAGGCAGAGCTCCACGGGGTATCACAAACCCTGGTGAGCACAGAAACACAAGACAGTGAAATACAGCCCAAAGAAAACGCTGGGCCTCCAGCAACCCACCCCACAGCTGTGATGCGATGGGACCCAGGAGGAAGGTCTCCCAACAGTGAGGGGTAGGCAAGAGGATGCCAGCAGCCCCCACCACCATTGTGGACACCCAGATCCCTCACCACTGGCGTCCCCCGGCATCCTCACAGCTGCACTCCCTCCACAGAGGAGCTGACACTGGGCCCTGTCTATTGGGCCCATGTGGCGACTATGCTCTGCCATCTTGGAGTTGGAACTACAGTTGGAGTGTGTTTTGTTCAGGGTAAAGTACCCACAGATCCCCTTCATCTCTGAGGCTAAGCTGCCTCAAAGCCACCCAAACCTGGTGGCCCACCATCCCTGTGCCAGCTGCAAGCAGCTGCTATACCCTTCCCAGCAGGGCTGGGTGAAGGTGGAGCCAGTCCACCTCCCCTTGCTCCAGGACCCAACAGTACCCTGCCTCCTGGAAAATAGCACCTGGCCTCTCACAGCATCCCTGTCTCCCTGCTGCCTAAGCTGAAGCAGCGCCCTCCCTCCTGGGAAATGCCCAGAATGGTCATGTATCCCAGCACCTACGCTGAAGAGGTACCATGTATCCCAGGGAAACAGTGCCTGGGCTGCCCAGAAAAGTCACACCCCTCAGGCCCACACTGACCAGCCATGCACCATGGGGAGGAGCTGACATCATACTCTACATCCCTGGGAAACAGAGCAGGGGCTGAGCAGAGGCACCTGCCCAACCATGCAAACAGCTCCAGAACCTGCTCTAACCCTAGAGCTGGACTAACCCTACAGTCTGAGCTACAGAGACACCACTCTTTCCAGGAAGTGGAGTCGCTGCTGTACTCCTCCCTGTCCTGCAGGGCCCAAATGACAGCTGGACTGGTCCATTCTGGGGTCCTTGCTGCCACCGCACAGAGTCTGGGATACTGTTGGGCCCCACCATCCCAGGGTCCAGAGTTACTACTACACAGTGCCTCATCCCCTCGAGTTGACACTAAGCCCTCCCTACTGGCTCAGGCTTCTGAAGTGCAGCTGTACCTGGCTTCCCAGGCTCAAACTTCCAGAGTGCTTCTTCCCAGGAGTCAGGCTAGGACTCCTTACCCTATGGGTGGAGTCACAGCTACAACCTGGCCCCGGGCCTAAGCTGCTAGGGGTGCTTCAGAGTCACAGATCCACCACAGAGAACAAACTTGCACCCCAAGGCCAGGTACCATGACAGGTACACAAGGCCCTAAGGCTAGAACCCCAGTCCCACAGCAATCTGGGTACCGGCAGCTAGAACCCAGTACTGTGGCAGCTACTTACAGACCGTGTCAGACATGACACCAAGAGAGATCCCCTCAGCTAAGTCCGTCATTGTGGGGAAAACAAGAATAGCAGGACCCCAAAAGCACTTTACACCAAGGATATTAAAAATGTACATCGCCACTGGCACAAACTTCCAGAGCTGAGGCAACTGAGCCACCCACAGTTATTGCTGTCATTTCATGGAGGTGAGGAAGCTGCACAGAAATGATGTCACTGCTCCTATCCAGAATGAGTCACGGTCCCTTCCAAAATGGCACACTAAAACCCAAGTGAGGTGAAAATCTTTCTCCATGAAAACCACTCCAGAAGAAAGTATAAAAGAGGCCATCGTTCTACTAGATGCACAAACATCAACGCAGGGACACGAGAAACATGAAAAAGCAAGGAAATCAGAAATCATGAAAGGAATACAGCTCTCCAGAACAGACCCTAATGAAAAGGAAACCAATGAATTGCCAGAAAGAGAATTCAAAATAATTATTTTTTGAAGAAAACTCAATGAGAAACAAGAAAATATAGACAGACAATTCAACAAAATCAAGAAAATGATTTCATGATATGAACAAGAAATTAAATTGAGACAAAAATTGTAAAGAAAAGAGCCAAACAGAAATCCTGTAGCTGAAAAATTTAATGAATGAGATAAAAATAAAATAGACAGTTTTGTTTTTGTTTTTTAATTTCTTTTTTTTTTTTTGAGACAGAGTCTCGCTCTGTCGCCCAGGCTGGAATACAATGGCATGCTCTCAGCTCACTGCAACCTCCTCCTCCTGGGTTCAAGTGATTCTCCTGCCCCAGCTTCCCGAGTAGCTGGGATTACAGGTGCTTGCCACCACGCCCTCCTAATTTTTGTATTTTTAGTAGAGACAGGGTTTCACCATGCTGGCCAGGCTGGTCTTGAACTCCTGACCTCAGGAGTTTTCTTTTTATCGAGCCTGCTTCGGCCTCCCAAAGTGCTAGGATTACAGATATGAGCCACCATGCCCAGCCCAACAGAGAGTTTTAACAGCAGACTGGATAAACAAAAAGAAAAAAATCTCTGTCATTTGAAACTACCTAGTAAGAAAGAAAAAAAGGAGTAAGAATGAAAAAGGATGAAGGAAGCCTAAGAGATTTACAGGATAACATTAAGTGAATACATGTTAGTATGATGGGAGTTCAAGAAGAGAAGGGAAAAGGCTTAGTAACCTATTTATTGAAATAGGTGAAAACTTTCCAAGACTGAGGAGAGGCATGGACATCTAAAACCAGGAAGTTCAAAGTTTCTCAAAGAGTCAACCTAGAAAAGTCTTCCGCAAGGCACACTGTAGTCAAACTGTCAAAAGTCAAATATAAAAAAATTCTAAAAACAGCAAGAGAAAAACTTAAAGTTACATATAAGATTCCCATTAGACTAACAGCAGATTTCTCTGCAGAAACCTTACAGGCCAGGAGAGAACAGAATGATACATATTTGAAGTGCTGGAAAAAAAAAAAAAAAAAAAAAGAAGACTGCCAGCCAAATATACTACATCCAGCAAAGCTACCCTTCAGAAATGAAGGAGAAATAAATTATTTTCCAGAAAAGCAAACACTGAGAGAATTCATCACTACTAGACCAGCCTTACAAGAAATGCTTCAGAAAGTCCTACATCTGGAAGAGAAGACAATAATCACAATCATGAAAACATGAAAGAGCATACGAGAAATTCACTTAACCTGTAAAGACATACATAGACTGAAAACGAAGAAGAGATGCAAAAAGATACTCTACGCAGGAAACCAAAGGCAAGTAGGAGTAGCTATACTTGTATCAGTTAAAGCAGATTTTAAGTCAAAAACAGTAAAAAGAGACAAGAAGGTCATTATATAATAATAAGAGGGTCAATAATACTTGGGGACATCAACACTCGACTCTCAGCATTAGATAGATCCCAGGCAAAAAAGAATCGACAAATACTGGATTTAAAGTGCACTGTAGGCCAAGCATGGTGGCTCACGCCTGTAATCCCAGCACTTTGGGAGTTCGAGGCAGGTGATCACTTGAGATCAGAAGTTCAAGACCAGCCTGGCCAACGTGGTGAAACCCCATCTCTGCTAAAAATACAAAAAAATTAGCCGAGTATGGTGGCATGCACCTGTAATCTCACCTACTCTATAGGCTGAGGCAGGAGAATCACTTGAACCCGGGAGGCAGAGGCTGCAGTGAGCTACGATCATGCCACTGCACTCCAGCCTGGGTGACAGAGCGAGACTCTGTCTCAAAAATAAACAAACATAAATAAAGCGCACTGTAGACCAAACATCTATAGCACATGTCATCCAACTGCTGCATAATACACATTCTTCCCCTTAGTGAATGGAACATTCTCCAGGATAGACCGTATGTTAGGCCACAAAACAAATCTCATCAATTTTTAAAACTTAAAATCATGTCAAGTATCTTTTCAGATTACAATGGAATAAAACTAGAAATCAATACCAAGAGAAACTTTCAAAACTGTAAAAAAAAAGAGGGGGAGGGGGAATTATACACATGTCCCAGAATGACCAATGGGACAATGAGGAAATTAAGAAGGGAAAAGTGATGCTGACATTACTGGTCCAGGACCACAATTTGAAAGCCACTCTACCAGCGCACGCTTCTAAAAGCATTTATCATGAAGGATGCCTATTGAAAAGGTTTGTAGAATTCAATTAGTTTGAAAAATTATGTCCCACAGTCACTGCCTGCCTCTTGGAGAAAGCTAGCAGACACTTATCACTTACAGATCCAGAAAGCCCCAAATTCCAAGAAACTTCTCCTTCACTCAGTCATTCGTTTCCCAAACTTATTTAATCACAGAACCTGTTTTATGAAGTAACACCTGTGAGCACTCTTCTCAAACAGCTCTCTCACAAGTAATCACATTTTCCAGAAGTCCAACCATCAAATACACATTTCCACACACTCGAGAATAAAGTAGGAATCCAGAAACCTATGTTTTTACTTCAGTTTGCCACTAACTAGGTTTTTACTATGTCACATCACTAAACCACTGAGGATCCTGTCTCAACTATAAAATACAATTGTGGACTAAATATTCCTAAAATTCCTTCTTCTAAACTTTGGCTGTCTGAGATGAGAATTCAAAATTAGTAAGTAAGAAATATTCAAAATATTAACATGATTTACCTGATCATCTTCAGAAAGTTCAGCTATTCTCTTCACATCACATTTGTTGGCTACAACTATAAGAGGCTAGGCAAGGAAGAAAAATAACGAAATCATTATTCTCATACTGCAGGATATGAAGGAAAACATGAGTGACCACACTCACCTTGTTGATGAAGAGAGGTCTGATGTTCTGGAAGAGTTCTAGCTGCTCCCTCAGCCCGTGCCCACACTGCTCAGACAAATCCATCACGTACAGGACCGCAGCACGGAGGTGGGCCAGGGCAGTGATGGCCTGCATCTCGATGGTGTTCCTATCCTCCAGAGGGTGGTCCAGTATCCCAGGAGTGTCTACAACCTAACACAGCCAGACCATGTCACTGAAAGCACACTCACCCACGAGCTTCTTATATAGCACATCCCAGAAGTCACTCACACACCCGACCAGATCTAATAATCTTAACGGGAGAATTTATTTAAAAAAAGTAGTCTCCCGGCCAGGCGCGGTGGCTCACGCCTATAATCCCAGCACTTTGGGAGGCCAAGGCGGGTGGATCACGAGGTCAAGAGATCGAGACCATCCTGGTCAACAAGGTGAAATCCCGTCTCTATTAAAAATACAAAAATTAGCTGGGCATGGTGGCACGTGCCTGTAGTCCCAGCTACTCGGGAGGCTGAGGCAGGAGAATTGCTTGAACCCAGGAGGCGGAGGTTGCGGTGAGCCGAGATCGCGCCATTGCACTCCAGCCTGGGTAACAAGAGCGAATTTCTGTCTCAAAAAAAAAAAAGTAGTCTCCCAAACTGAACATGATAAAATAAACAAAGCAGTCAGAGAAAAGTACACACTACTTAAACATCAAAAAAGCGGGGAGGAACCTTGTAGAGCTCAATGAAATGCTAGCCACACCCTTACGAGAAATGACTTCTCTTTTTACTAGTGACGTTATAAATACAAAAACTGGGATAACTGAGAACCCTCCCATGTCTTAGTTATTACTTTCTTCGCAATTTATAAAATTACAGTGTGAAAACACTGCTTCGTGCTTATTATTATTTTTTTTTGAGACAGAGTTTCATCCCTACTGCCCAGGCTAGAGCTCAATGGTGCAATCTTTTCTCACTGCAACCTCCGCCTCCCAGGTTCAAGTGATTCTTCCGCCTCAGCCTCCTGACTGGCTGGAATTACAAGCACCCGCGACATCTGGCTAATGTATTTTTTGTAGAGACAGGGTTTCACTATGTTGGCCAGGCTGGTCTCAAAATCCTGACCTCAGGAGATCCACCTGCCTCAGCCTCCCAAAGTGCTGAGATGACAGGTATGAGCCACTGTGCCCCCGCCTGCTTCATGCTTTTAAACTGTATTCATGCCATTTCTGGTAACAGAGTTAGAAATGACACAAAGATGGCCGGGCGTGGTGGCTCACGCCTGTAATCCAAGCACTTTGGAGGCCAAGGCAGGCGGATCACCTGAGGTCGGGAGTTCAAGACCAGCCTGAGCAACATGGTAAAACCCCGTCTTTATAAAAATAAAATAAAATAATTAAAAGCCAGGATATAAGTCACTCTTGGGAATAGTGACTGAAGGGGAGAATTTAAAAAAGAGAGTGTCCAAGTTGTTCCCACTCTTCCATCACTGGGCCCTGGGTTCATAGTGTATGCATTTTGTAAAAATGTTTCAAGCTGTTTTTAATGATATATGTGTGTAAAATTAAAAACAAGAGAAATGACACAAAGAGAATTTCATTTTACATTAACAAAATGCAGAAATCCACACTGACAGATGGCTGCTTCCCCTGAATTATTTCAGGGACATGTGACCTGTTCTTATGCATCCCCAGAGCTCAGATGAGTTTTCTTTATCATGATGGAGAAATTTCAAGTTCTTGATAACCCTAGATAAACCAAGATATTTGTTCTGTTTAAAGACAAGACTCTCGTCAGGCACGGTGGCTCACACCTGTAATCCTGGCACTTTGGGAGGCCGGGGTGGGTGGATCACCTGAGATCTGAAGTTCAAGATGGGCCTGACCAACATGGTGAAACACCTTCTCTACTAAAAAAATTACAAAAATTTGCCCGGCATAGTGGTGTGCACCTGTAATCCCTGCTATTTGGGTGGCTGAGGCAGGAGAATCGCTTGAACCCAGGAGGTGGAGGTTGCAGTGAGCCGAGATTGTGCTACGTCGCTTCAGCCTGGGCAACAAGAGCGAGACTTCGTCTCAAAAAATAAAATTAAATTAAAAAATAAAATAAAAGAAAGTCAAGACTCTCACCTGCCAACGTAGATACTTATAATCCATGTGCCCAACAAACAGAGACTTGGTTGTGAACGCATAAGGCTGGACATCCACATCTGCTCTCGTCACCTGAAACAGCAGCGAGAACTTTCAGAATCACCTTGCTTCCTCTCTGTGTAAACACGGCATCTGTGTGTTCATAAGACTAATTGTTAGGAAAAAACCACAGAAGAACCACCTAGAGAACTAGTTACAATTCAAATTCTGTTTCAGTTGATCTGGGCTGAGGCCTAAAATAAAAAAATAAAAATAGAAAGGAAAACACCCCAGAAGAAACCTCACATGATACAACTATATCAAAACAGGAGTTACCAACTTTGATAAATGGCCTGGTACCTCTCCCTTCACACCACCAGGCCCAGGACTGGGGCATGAGGACAGCATGAGGGCCGGCGTTCGGAGGCCGCCGCCTCCCTCACCATCCCATGTCCTGCCCCACACCTACAATGCCCACAGAGTTCTCAGTGATGACAGATGTTCTGTCTGTGCTGCCAACTAGGGCCTACCCATCACACATTGCCCGCAAACTTTCAGTATGTAGCTAATGTGACTGAGGAGCTGGAATTTTCATTTTGCTGAATTAAACTACAATTTAACAAGCCACCTGGACCAGTGGCCACCACATCAGCCCCATGGCACTGGTTCATTGTGGCAGGTTCAGAGCTGACAAGCATTGGAAACATCAGGAGAGGAACATGAAAGGAGTGCTGGTCACCACGTCATAGCAACCTTGGACAAAAGAAACTTACAAATCTATTTCGAAGTAAAAGTGACCCTGAGGCTGGGTGTGGTGGTGGTCCATGCTTGTAATCCCAGCACTTTGAGAGGCTGAGGCAGGGATGGCTTGAGCTCAGGAGTTTGAGATCAGCCCCTGGGGAATATAATGAGACTCCACCTCCACAAAAAAATTAAAAAATTAGACAGGTGTGGTGGCATGCACCTGTGGTCCCAGCTAGTTGGGTAGCTGGGGTGGGAGGATTGTTTGGGCCCAGGAGGTTGAGGCTGCAGTGAGCCATGACTGCACCACTGCACTTCAGCCTGGGAAAGAGAGCAAGACCCCATCTCAAAAAGAAAGGAAAAAAGAAAAAATTTAAACAAAAAGAAAGATAAAATTTTTTTTAAATTAAAAATATAGTGATCTTGGCACTCAGTAAGTCATAAAATTTGACAATTTTCTTGGCACATGAGCTGTGGCTGGTTGTAAATTCATATTTTAAAGTTGCTTTGCCTCTTCCTGGATCCCTCAAACTCAGCCAAATTTTCCTGAAGCACTAAATGACTGAGTCCCTTAAATGTGACACTTGAATCCTAGTCAGTGAGTACACCCAAGGAAAAAGAGACACAGCATCTTTCCCCTCTGCTGGACCACATACTATTTCATGTGAAAGTTGACACAGCAACCAAGGTGTGTCAAGATTACCCAGAGGCAGCTGCAGATGGGCAGACCCCAGCTCGGTGAGTGTCATTTGCCACTGGAGCCCATCTGGCATCGCCATTCCAGGGCAGGTGAACAACACCTGTGAAAACTCTCCAGCTGTCAACAAAAATGCACTTACACATCTCAAATTCCTTAGAAATTATAGGACACTCAAGAACCAAAAGTAATGGTTTCTGTAATAGTAATATAAATCTAGATACAAAGTCAATCCCCTCCAAGAGAACTCAGATGTACTCAGGCACTGGGGCCTCCTGCAGTCCAGGCCAGTATTGACTAAAGGACCAACTGGGAGGCCAAAATTATGACCAAGACCATTCTGAATCCCACACAGTCAGAATACAGTAACAATGAAGTGAAATGGCCAGAGGATTTGCTTTACAGTAAAAACCAGACCAACCTTATTGATGAAGCTGGACTTGCCTACATTTGGGTACCCACACAAAAGCAGAGTCCTGGTATTTGGATCAATGGTTGGCAAACGGGATAAATGCTGACGCACTATGAAAAGTTCAAATTGAAAAATTAAGACACTCAAAGCTTAAGATTTGCTTTACATTTTCCTTTGAACTTAGTTACAGTCCAGGCCTGTGGTGATATTAATTTTACTCCAATTTTTATAACGCAACAGTGATGGGGAAAATAGTTGCAGAGGGTACAGTATATATGCAGTACATTCAACAGTTATTTCCCAGGTTTGGCTGTAGTAAGAATCCTAGTCCGCAGCCCTTCCAAGCCCATATTTTAACTCATCAGGTCAAAGGTAGGGCCAACAGCATGTCTGGAAGTGTCCAGACAATTCTCATCAGCAAGATGACATTAGGGAAACAGTGTACTTTGAAGCCTGCATGCCATGACGTTCTGGCTGAAACACGGGTTACTGCCATTCAGCCACCTCATCTGTAACAAACACAGCTCCAAGGTGGCACCCCTGGGCCATCACGCAGGCCACACAGATCTGTAGGAAAGCACCTGCAAAGCATCCAAGTATCATACATTTTGTTAAAAACTGCTTGCAAGATGCGGGAGGGAGAACAAACCCAAATGAGTCCAAATAATTTGTCATGTAAGAATACACACAAATAAACAGGCAAGTAATTGTTTCAATAGAATCCTACTAGAGTAATTCAGAAAGTCCTACTGAATCAAAGTATTTTTTAAAATAAAAATGTCAACAATAAACTACAAGCCATCTTATTTTTTTATACTTTTCAGCATTTTCTCATGATTTTTTGTCTATACCTTACCTATTAAATACGAAATACATAAACTTTCTTTCGGCGCTATTAATTTGTACGTATTATATGTGCTAGCACTTTTTCAATAAAAACCAGCCTATTACTGTTTCTCATGGGTAAAGCTAGGAAAAATAACTGACCCTGTCATCTCCAAACTATGACAAAACAGACATCTCAAGAGTAAGTCCTCAACAAGGACACATCCTGTCAGCAGGACGCTATCACGGTTCCTGCAGATGTGTGACAAGCACCTTGCTCCAAATACTCCAAACTCTGCTTCTGCCTCTTGATCACGGTGCACATCCGCCCCAGGGCCGCACGCTTCAACTGCTTGCAGCGGTAGAGAGAGTCGCCGTACTTCATCAACCGCACATAATCTTTAGCAACACTTAAAAAAGTAAAAAATGTTACGTTTCTTTTCACTTTTGATAACTTAAAAGACACCACAGTAAAAAAAGTACCTTACTTGTCCACTAAATTTTTGGCAATATTTATTTGCCCCAGAGCCAACTTGTAGTGATCTTTGTCGTACAGAATATTCATCAAGTCTGCGTAGAATGGATGAATGTCCTGTAACAAACAAACAAAGGCGTACCATAGTCACTTTGGGCCAGCAGTTTCTCATCCCTCATAGAAGTGACACTTGAAGAACAATTTCCTGCCCTCTCTCTTCAAGCCTGCAGTGTCTCCTCCCCAGTTCTCTCTCCTGGCCAGGGGCTCTGTCTATTTAGCCCTCTGGGAAAACAAGCATCAGAAGAGATGTGGGCACCAGTGGTAGCTGCTGCCACCCACCTCCCTCCCTGTATGGCAGTGCAGCTGTGGGACCCAGCGTGACCAGCTCCCACCCTGCAGGCACCCTTCCTGCTGCTCAGGAACTCTGCACCAGAAATCCTTCCCTCTGCCTGACTATTCCGATCAGCCTAAAAATCTGCTGTTATTTCCCAAACTTTAGGAAAAAAATTTAAGCTCCCGTGACCCCCAAATCCTTCCAATTCCTTCTCTTTGCTCCCAAGAGGCACTGGGTCTCTCCTCTCCTCCCTATCTTGAAGCCACTCTCACCAGAATTCAGTGTCCACCACTCCATCTACACAGCCTACAAGCTCTCAAGGACCTCCCAATGACCACCTCTCACATTGTATCTCACAGACCTCTTGAAGCGATGGGGGCTGGCCCCGCATCCTGCCTGCAGCATCTTCCTCACAGCTTCCAGGGAGACAGTCTACCCTCTCTAAGTCCTGTGCTGGCTCCTGCTCACAGCGCCACCCGAAACATCCATGCTCCCCACAGCACCCTTCTTCCTACATTCCCTTCCAAGGTCATCTCAAAGAGATTTAAATGTTACCTGTATTTTACTAGAGCATTTTACATCACCAGGCCAGCAGTATCTCGTATCTCACCAGTGCATATAAACTCAACCCGACTACCACCTCCTCCAATCCCATCTCCCCATGTTATCCACCTCCCCTTGCCCTCCAGGGTCTCCGGGACCTCAGGCCCCTGAACCTGCTGCTGCTTTGACTACAGGCCTGATTCCCTCTCCCCGAGCAGATACTCCCCACTCCCCTTCCAGGGCTTCCCTGCACCTGTCCGACATGCTGTGTGTTTTCACGTTCACTACCCACCCCCACAGAATGAGAACAGGAGCCTTTATCATTTTATTCCTAGCGCTCATAACGAACCAGACAGATGAGAAGCATTCAATGAACGACAAGTTAATCTAACTCTCCACTCTGAAACTGTCCTCACATAACTAGCCCCAGCTTTAAAAGAGATAATAGAATGTTAATACATCTGAACTCTCCTACCTCTGATGTATATAATACTGAGGATGAAAAAGATAAAACTTCTTAAAAAGAACCACAAACATCTGATACTCAGTAGATCAAAATATGTTGTTTGCTAAGATCAAGTGTCTCCTAATACCAAATCAGTTTAGAATAATCTCTTTCTTAATCACTTTCCTTACCCCCAGGTACTCTCTCCCTTTCCCAAGAAACCATCCACTCATTCAAGAAGCATCTACTGAACAACTGTATCAAACCCTGGATAGATACAACCTAAGTGTCTGTCAATTCTAAATTCTAGCAGGAATTTTTGCCTTTTATTTTAAGCACTTTTGTCTTTTAGTAAGTCATTATTACTTGTTTAAATAAAAAGTACTGTCACAGAAGCCAACTGTTTTTCTCTGCCTATACCTACCTTCAGGGACTATTCCGGGGCAATGGTAGATTTAGGCTTTAAGACTATACTGCTGATCCCCACACCCTTCACAACCTCAAGTAATCAAGGCTTTGTCAGCAGTGCCTGCCCATCAGTTTCTGCTCTTGCTTTTCTATAGCTCAACAGGCAGGCTGGGTATGGTGGCTAACGCCTGTAATCCCAGCACTCTGAGAGGCAGATACAGGAGGATCACTTGAAGTCCGGAGATTAAGTCTAGCCTGGCTAACATGGTGGAACCGTCTCTACTAAAATTACCAAAAATTAGCCAGGCCTGATGGTGTGCACCTCTAATCCCAGCTACACAGGAGGCTGAGGCACACCAATCACCTGAACCCAGGAGGTGGGGGTTGCAGTGAGCCGACACTACGCCCACCACTACACTCCAGCCTCGGCAAGAAAGTGAGGCTCAGTCTCAAAGAAAAAAAAAGAAACAGGCAAACTGCAATGTGTGGCAGAGAAGGGAGCTCAAGGTTTCTGGCTTAATGAAAAAAGCATAGCTCCTCATGTGACCTTGCCAGAGAAGAACACAGTACTGTACTGACTGTCATCCACTAATGAAGCAACAAGGTCACAAACAGTGGTGGACTTTATGCCACTGACCCAAGCTGAGCTGAGGGGGGAAAAAACCCTTGAAAAGAGGGTGAAGGAGATGCACCAGTGAGCTGTCAGCTTCTGCGTTCCTAACCCACAGCTACCATTACCACTTGGGTTCACCCCTGCAAGCTCAGGGATTACACAGAAAGCCTGAGAAGCAGCTTTGTGCCCCCTTAGACAGGGTTTGGTTGGAGGAAAGAGAGACTATTAGAGAATCAAAAAACCCATATTCTGTTCCCACTTTTATTAATTCAACAAGATGGTTCATTGCCAGTAACTTACTGAGCAGTCTAAGTCAATTATCCTGTCTCCCTTTCTGTCACATGAGTACACAAAACTGGTTAAACACTGGTTCCCTGAAGGCTCATATTTACATAAACATAGAGTCCCCCAAGTCACTTACATCCAACTTAGGAAAATCTGTTAGAATTTGTGAAAGTCTATCATGGTAATTCTGTTGAGTAAATTTGACTTTTCTCATGTAAAAATGTCTAATGCGATGAATTTGGTAATGTTTATGAATAACGGTTGGAGTCTTTCGTTGAGTCTTCGACAATGTCAGGTCAATAAAGTCCTGCAATTAAAGAAAATAAGCCATAATTAAATCAAAAGTATCTACTTCTGATCCATTTATTTGAAACCCTCTTAAAACACTGACATCTTACAGTACTACGCATTTTAAATTACAAAATTTTACTCTAACTGTTTCATATACAACCTTGTTCATTTTTACAGTTTCTAGCCTTTAAGAAACACATGGCTGCTAAGATAAATTTTACCCCATACTTTCTTGGTGCTATCTTAATTTCCAAATACCTAAGAACCTTTGAAGCTTAAGTAGTCAGAGAACTCAACCATAAATTAGAAAAAACAGTTGAGAAAAAGAAACAATCCTCCCATTTCTTTACGCATATCTTGGACTTTGAAAATACATAAAATAACAGGTAAAACTAAAACCCACTGTTTAGAATTTCCTAAGAGCATGGAAGGGGACTATTTGAGGAGATGAAGGATTTTTGCATGAGTTTCCCAGTGCAAAGAGTCAGCACTTCTCTTTAATAAGGATCCGATCCCAAGGATTTCTCAATCTGATGTATCTAGCCACTATCTAGGCACACAAAATTACTTGATCTTTTTTCTTGAACACTTTGATTAATTCAACAATTTGATTCAGTATTATTTCATACAAAGGTTGTTGGGATACTCAGGTGCTGAACATAATGAACAAGATACTGTCCCTTCAAGGAATTCAGGGTCCAGTGACAGAAGTATCGTACCAATCGTCTGCCAAGTATCGTACTATGAGGGGCACGCACATTCTCCCCTCTGGGCCTACACAAGATCTCCCCTACATTCTTCTGCACCTAATGGTATTCACACATCCTGAAGGAGGCACAGTTCAAATGTTACCTACTTCAGGAGGTTGCCCTTGACTCTCCTACTAACCACAGCTACTTACACTCTTATCCTCTCCCAATCCATGTGTGTCCTCCATGATAACCATGTTTTATTTCTATTATGGTCAAAAGTGATTCTGCTTACCCCTCTTGAAAATGACTTCCAAATGACTTCCAGGTATTTTATGCATTTTTTGTAACACAGTACCTGATGCACAGGACAGGCGTTCACTTAACATCTTCTAGGACGAACTGAATCCCAAACTTTCCTGGTGTAATTTTTTTAAACTTCCAATTACCAAACAATTACCATCACCCTTTTCAGATAGGTAAAGTCATCTGTTCTCTAAAACACAAATCTTTCCACAAAACAGAAAACAGATGGTGTACTAATATATTCCAAAGTTCTCCACATAAGTCAATTACATTACCGAAGTTCATATAATCCAAAGAGCAAATTCCATCAACAAACTTGAGATATGGTTGATCAAAAATAAAAATAAGATATGATTCCTGCACTGGAAAATACTACAATCTGGCTGGGAGTGATGGTTTACGCCTGTAATCCCAGCACTTTTGGAGGCTGAGGCAAGTGGATCACTTGAGATCAGGAGTTCGAGACCAGTCTGGCCAACATGGTGAAACCCCGTCTCTACTGAAAACACAAAAATTAGCCAGACCTGGCGGCGTACGCCTGTAATCCCAGCTACTCGGGAGGCTGAGGCAGGAGAGTCACTTGAACCTGGGAAGCGGAGGCTGCAGTGAGCCGAGATCTGGCCATTGCACTCCACCCTGGGCAACAAGAGCAAAAAACTCAGTCTCAAAAAGAAAGTCCTGGCTGGGAGTGGTGGCTCAGGCCTGTAATCCAAGCACTTTGGAGGCCAAGGAGGGCGGATCACCTGAGGTTGGGAGTTCAAGTCCAGCCTGACCAACATGGTGAAATCCCATCTTTAAACAAATAAAAATTTAAAAAACAAAAAATAAAAAAAAGTCCTAATGCTCAACACTTTTTGACTCATTCTTGCCACACACACCAACGCTGTACGAATTTAGTCTGGGCCTGCTATAGACAGAAAAAGAACAGGGATTCCCAAATCCAACAGTGAAAGAGAATGATTTAAAAATTAAGAAATGTTAAATCACGAGAGCAACGAACCGAGGCTTCCAGAGAGAGGAGGGGGCTACGCCAAACCCAGAACCCAAAGGCTCATCATCAACCACCGAGTGCTTCTCCCTTACATGTCGGGGTCCGCCTCCACTCGCCCACCTCGTCACCTTTGGGGCCCCTCCAGAGAACCCTTCTGTAGGCGGACCTCGATCTCTGGGGACCCGGGTCTCTCTGGGCGGACCTCAGTCTTTGGGTGGACCCGGGTCTCTGGGGGGGTCCGATCTCTGGTGGACCCCGGATTCTGTAGGGGGAGGGGAAATGATCACGAGTACGCGGCCAGCAGGTCGGGCCCGGGAGCGGTCTCCCACGGCTACAGGTCCGGACACTCGCCGGCGACCCCGCTAAGGAGCAGGCGAAAGTCGGAGTGGCCCTCCCGCAGCCACCTACCTTGGCGGACGGTACCACCGTAATTTTCTTGAAGTTGTAGTGCGCCATGCCGGCTGCCGTAAGCACGCGGGGACGGGGCACTCCCGGAACTTCCGCTATCGGGCGAAGGTGGGACTTCCGCCGACGGGCGCTGCTAGTGCGTCACTTCCGAGAGCTCAGCCCAACGTGTCCTGCGTCCTCTATGGCGCTTTCCGCGTCGCACAGCGCACCCACCCGGCCTGGAGGTCAGCCACGAAGGGCGTGTGGGGGCCCCGTGGGTGAGGGCGTCGGGGAGAGGACTCCCGGATTTTAGGGGGCGCGCGGAGACTAAATTCCTGCTGTGTAAAGCGAGGACTCCCGACAAAAACCTCCGGGTTTTTGGACGCGGGTTCAGGTTCCTAGCCACTGCCCTGAGCCAGGGTTGGGAAGTCTGGGGTCTTGGGATTTGGGTAATGCATGGGGGTTTAGGGGTTCAGAGGCTCTAGAGGATCCAGGAGTCTAGGGGTCCCGGGTCTCGGCGAGACACGCAGAGGAGGAGGGAAGCGCGCGTGTGGGGCATGCCCTGGCTGCGGGTATGGAGCAGGTCAAGCGCCCTCTCCCCTACCCCGTCCTCGCGCGCGTGGTGTTGAGGAGGCCCTTGCGGCTCCCCGGCAGCCCTTTCTCGTACTTGTTAAATCCCAAAACGGGCGGAGAAGGTAAAGCCTGATGTAAGGCAAGCTGGTTCCGCACAGCTCCTCGGGAGAGCCCGGGAGCAGTTGGGAGACAGTTCTGTCGGGTCCAGCTGAGGAGGTTGGTGAGGATAGAGCCTTTGGGCGCTTACTGCGTTCGTGTTTGTGAATAGTGTGGCCACTCCCTTAGGGGACCCAGGGCTACATCCCTTAAGTTAAACCTAAGGTAGGGCTGACTCGGTCAAGCACTGTTCAGAGCTGTTGACTACTATTAACTCATTTAATTCCTGCAACAGCCTTATGGAGTACGTGGGGAATCCAAGGCACAGCAAGGCTCGAAAGCAGCCCATGGTTGTGCAGCTAACGGAGCAGAGGTGAGCTTTGAACCCAGGCACCTTGGCTCCAGCAAACCTGCTTCTGACCACTAGCGGTACTGCTTCTCACGCATATGGGATGCCCCCAACTCTCCAGTCTTTTTAAACAAGTCCTATTGTCCTTACACAAAAATACCTTCCATAGATTCCCAACATTCCAATATTGAAAATCATTCTGAGTCATGCGTTTCTCATCTATTATATTAACTATGCTTCCATTTTTGTGTCACAAGCAAGGCAGATAAGCATACCTCCTACAGCTTTGTGGCACTTCTAAAGGAAGATTCTAGGGTAATTAGGATTATTAGCTGGCTATCATCATTTGCTAAACCGCAGACAATTCTGGCCACCATTTCCAAGATTAGCAAAGCTATGCTAGTACTTATTGCCTTTTTTTTTTAGAATCTCATGTTTCCTCAACCTCTCCCACTTTCTCTCACTCTGACATGCCCAGTTCCTCTTTCTTTTTCTTTTAATCTGGTATTTACATAAGTATTTACTTTGCTTCAGTTGTGCAAACATCCTTTCTTTAATTCTCTTCTTTTTTTTTGAGACAGAGTCTTGGTCTGTCGCCCAGGCTGGAGTGCAAGTGGCACAATCTCGGCTCACTGCAACCTCCACCTCCCAAGTTCAAGCAGTTCTCCTGCTTCAGCCTCCTGAGTAGCTGGGATTACAGGCCCTGGCCACCACTCCTGGCTAATATTTTGTATTTTTAGTGGAGATGAGGTTTCACCATATTAGCCAGGCTGGTCTTGAACCCTGACCTCAAGTGATCCACCCGCCTTGGCCTCCCAGAGTATTGGGATTACCGGCATGAGCCACCTGCTTTTAACTTGTTCAGCCACAAAGGCATATCTGTGAATGTACAACCATAATGACTCATCGTGGGCCCAGAGCTGTAACAACAATGGTGAAGTACCAAGCATCCTACACCATGTGTGTGTGTTGATGAAAATCAGCATCCTTGCCTGTCATTGTGATTTTCTGGCTGAGTGTAGCTTCTTGGAGACAAGTGTGTGTTCTACACCACTAGGAGCAAGCTTCTCTATGAAAACACTTCTGGCTGCCAGGCGCCGTGGCTCACACCTGTAATCCCAGCACTTTGGGAGGCTGAGGTGGGTGGATCACGACGAGGTCAAGAGATCGAGACCATCCTGATCAACATGGTGAAACCCTGTCTCTACTAAAAATACAAAAAATTAGCTGGGCATGGTGGCACGTGCCTGTAATCCCAGCTACTCAGGAGACTGAGGCAGGAGAATTGCCTGAACCCAGGAGGCGGAGGTTGCAGTGAGCCGAGATCACGCCATTGCACTCCAGCCTGGGTAACAAGAGCGAAACTCCATCTCAAAAAAAAAAAAAAAAAAAAGAAAACACTTCTGGGCTTCTCTGGGGAATCCAAACTGTAAAGCTCGTTTCTGAGAAGAGTTGGAACACTGCCTGCAGCAGGAGGCACATTGCCAGCTCTTGACTGTTAACGGAGGTATCCAGCTACCAGAAGCCTTAGAGTGTGTACCTTGTGACAGAGAAAGGTATGTCTAAGCTGTAGTAAAGGATACTGTCAAGGGGACTCTGCAAAGCTTCTCACTGCAAGGTACTTCTTAGTAAAACACTTTGTTTTTCCGACTTCTTTATTTTGTGCACTTGGTCTTTTCTGTTTTATCTTCCCGTTGCTGTAATTCTGATGGATGAAAGGTACGTCTTGCAGAACTGAACTTCCTGAAAGGAGACTTTGCAGGGGGATTAGCCATCAGTAGCCATCAGGTCTTAAGAGGGTGCTTGGAGTGCTCCATCAGGCCCATTGGCCACTTCCTTGGATCCCCACAGGAACTCACTCGGAACGAGTCACATGCTACTTTGTACCTAGATGCTTCCTTGTGTACATTTTGTTTTCAAAAGAAGTAGCCAGCCCATTGTGAACAGGAACTATGTCTTACTCTTTTGCCATCCCTCACCTCAGGCAGCACTGCCAAGAGCATTCACAGTGACCGTGGAACTTTGGATTGAACGTCAGCTTGAGTAAGTTCCTGATGTAGTGGTGGCTGTAGCAGTTGGAACCTGGCTTCTGCAATACTCAAGTAGTCCTAGTGAATTACACTACTGTCAAACCGCCTGTGTACAACCCTGAAATGGGTCAGAAATCCACACTGTGCCATAAAGAGGAAAGCTGTCCCAGACCTCCAGCTTCATGACAGCCAGGGCCTTCTCCAGGGCAGGTTCCTCCAGCCTGAGGCACTTGGACTCTGATCCCCTGGAATGAGGAGAGATGCTGAGGGCTGCGGATTCTGTAAGGGCAGATGCCTCAGAGGAGCCAGCAGCCAGCAAACCAGCTACCAGTCTAGCATATTTCATGATGAAGTAAAGCTGCAGCCGAGGAGCCCTTGGAGCAGGCAGGATGACACCTCGTGAACCTACCAGGCATGCACACCTCCATAGCCAAGTTCTGCCTGAACCACCACCTCCTGGCACTAATGGAGAGTGCTTCCACTGCAGGGCAAGGGGGCATACATAGGTCTGCGTCTGTGTGTTTTCCAGTTGTTGAAATGATTGGTTATAAATAGAATTCACTGACGGATGAGGAGGTGAAAGGTTTACTTACTGAAGTTTTCCTTTAATATGACACTGGAAACTCAAGAGAAGGGGAATTTCACCTTCACTTAGTAAGTGGATTTTCTCTAGCCACTGGATTTATACCGTGTCTGTCATCCCAATCCTGTGAGTCTTGTGGAGTTTTAAATGTGGCTAGGGAACAGATGTTATCTTAATTTCATAGAGGTATGAATTCAACAGGGAAGTCTAAGGAAACACCCTCCTTTGCGGAAGGCAACAATGGCATGGGAGCCACCCTCTGGGGCAAAGGTGCAGCCTGACAGTCTGCAGAATTACACAATGAGTTAAAAGTGTGAGCTTCATGTCTAAGATATAGCTCCACCCATGTGATCCTGGGAAAATTTCTCAACTTCACCAAGCCTCTGTTTCTTCACCTGTAGATTGGAGGTGGTAATAATGCGTGTGGAATATGGTTAGTGAAATAAAGTACTTTTAACATGCCTGGCACATAGTAAGTGAGCAAAGAGATTCTGTACTGTTACACATTATTATGTATTATCTATGTTATTAGCTGCTTATTTACATAATATTTGCTAAACTTTTGTTCTATTCATTAAATTCTTGTTGAACCTTAACAACTGCAATGTAGGGAGCCTCCACCACATGCCAGGTAATTTGTTTTCCTTCTCAGGACAGCATAATGAGGTGGGCGTGGTTCTGTTTCTCAGAGAGGAATGCTTGCTCACAGTCACACAGCTGGAGGGACACAACTGCAGGTGGGTCCAAGGCCCCTGGAAGTCCAAAGCCACTCTCCTTTTGCACTGCCGTCTAAGAGTGGCTTTGTTCTTGACCTCTTTAGAGTTATTACCTTGTTTGGTACTTATTTATTTATTTGTTTATTTATGAGACAAGGTCTCATTCTGTTGCCCAGGCTGGAGTGCAATGGTGTGATCTTGGCTCATTGCAACCTCCACCTCCCAGGTTTAAGCAGTTCTTGTGCCTCAGCCTCCCATGTAGCTGGGACTACAGGTGCGTACCACAACACCAGGCTAATTTTTGTATTTTTTAGTAGAGGTAAGGTTTTGCCATGTTGTCCAGGCTGGTCATGAATTATTTGGTATTTAAATGGAGGTACATGATAGATTGCACTTGGGATCATCAGCTATAAATAATCCCCCAGGACCAATGTTTCACTAAAGCACTGTTTGCACATGCAGACAGATTGTGTTTCTTCTGTGAGAATTCCATGTTCCTATGCTTGGATCATGACAAGCAGGTGGCTTCACTGCTACCTGTGCCAATGAACTTCTGCCCTTGCTCACGTCCAAGCTGCTGATAAGAGGTGTTTTCATGGGTTGATTATGAATCATTCCATTGGCATACTGTTAAAAACATTCTTTGCATTCTGCAGTTCTGTAAAGTACTTTTAGGTTTAATGGAAATCTTGGAATCTCTTTTCCTAGGGAAGATTTGTGATAATAAATGTACACATATTTGGAATGCATGTACTTATTCTTGTATGATCAATTTTCAAATGATTCTAAACATCTGCAAGTGGAATTTCTTAAGATTAGCATTCTCTGCTGTACCCCCCCAAAAAAGCTCAAGATAAGCAAAGACAAGTTTCATGTTGCAGCAGACATGTGAATCCTTGGTGTTTATGGAAGCTGGTTAGGCAGGTGGTTGTGATATCTGACCCTCAGGCTAAAAACAGCAACAACAAAAAAATTCGCTTTGATACTGTGACATTATTGTCACAAATTTAATAACTGACTTTGAAGGTCTGCACAAGGAAACCATGACGTTTTAGCAATTTCAATTTTCCAGGGAGAGGAGGCTTAAAATTTCAATTCCAGCCCTGCCACCAACATTTAGGATACTAGTAAGCCAAGTGCTTCTCCTACTATTATTTTTAATTAAAAATATATTATTTCCTCACAAAAGCATAGAGGTATAAAAATAATAATATTCACTATCAGAATGTATCTGTCTGGATAGTCTAAGTTATCCTGTGATAACAAATAGTCTTCATATCTCAGCATCGGTTATTTCTCTCTGATGTTCCATGCTGAATGTGTTGTATCGGACCGAGCATAGAAAGTCAACACCAAGACAAAAGTATGCCAAATTGCAGGGTTTATTGCCGGCAACCACAGAGGACTCACATCTCTCCAACCCATGGCAGAGAAAGAAGCGTGACAAGACCTTTTTATACCCGCAAAACCACCTTGGGAGTGGGGGTGAAGAGTGGAGATGGGGATGAAAGACTGTAAATCACCTCCTGGGCAGAGAGGAGATTGAGGGGGGCTCCGGACATTCCAAGGGCCAGCGGACTTTTGTCATTCCGATTGCCACTTAAGTGGTTTACAGAGGTCAAGATAAACATTCGTTAATACATTATTTGGACAGGTATAGGGTCCACATAATTTTAGGTTATTTAGCACCAGGATGGAATTATCTGGGGGTGCTTACTCTGGTCAGTACTGGCAAACAGAGGCCAGCAATTCTGGCAGTTACAGATAAGAGAACGTATGCAGCTTTACCTCTCTTTGCATTTTGCAGAGTAAACGTAGCAGTTTACAGAGGCCATGGCTAGCAGTCATTGTGAGGAGAATGGAAACAGTTTTGTCTCTTTATAAAATGGCATTGTACAGGTTCTAACTCTAGGCTAGCTATATCACAACTGCTGTGGACTAAATTGAGTCCACACCAAATTCATATGTTAAAGGCCTTACTCCCAGTCTTACAGTATTTGGAGATAGAGCCTTTGGGAGGTAATTGGGTTTAGTAAAGGTCATAAGGCTGGAGCCCTCCTGATGGAATTAGCACGCTTGTGAGAAAAGACCCAGAGAGCTGTTCCCTGGCTTCCCTGGCCCCACACATGCACCAAGGAGAGATGATGTGAACACAGAGAGAAGATGGCTTTCATCAAGCCAGGAAGAGGCTGCACCAGAACCCAACTGCTGGTGCCCTGATCTTGACCTTCCAGTCTCCAAAACTGTGAAAAGAAAATTTTCTGTTGTTTAAGCCACTCAAGTCTGTGGTATTTTGTTATGACAGCCCAAGCTGGTTAAGATAGCCACCATAGGTCAGCAGGGGGCTCTGCTCAGGATGGTCACTGAGGGATCAGACTCCTGGAGTAAAGGTTGTTGACAATAGCTATGCTGAGGAAAGGGGAATGAATTTGACAATGAAATGTTTCAGTCTCAGCTCCCATGTGCCTATTTCTGGATGGTGAGTTGAGAATAACAGAGTTATTTGTAAACAGTACTGATGCCTACTGCATTGGCATCTAAAGCAGATGCTCTTTAAATCTATGTTCAATTGATAATCCAAATATGGCACAACATATATCAAAATACTTATATTTAACTAGGAAATCTGAACCTATGGCCCTTATATAAAGAGATAGGTAATAAACCCTCTTCCATTTCTCTATCCCAGGCTAAAATTGGCTAATACAGGTACAGTCTTTCTTCATAAATGTTCATTCATTTTAAAACTGTGAAAGCATCAGTATACCTGGAGACTGACAAAGTAGGAATTCTAAACTCTTAAGAAAACATGAAAGGACTCTCATGAATGTTTCCTCCCAGGCAAATAACTCCTATCCTGTTTTCTTTCTCCTTATAGTTCGTTTCCACACATAATAACAAATTTTAAAACAAAGATGTACCATTTCTTTTACATGATTAGCTAGGGATAAAGGGAAGTCTCATCTTGAAAACAGTACAAAGTGCCTAAAATATGTTTTAAAATTCTTTAAAGTTATCTAAATATTAGTTAGTGCTACAGTTTGGATATTTTTCCCCACCCAAATCTCATATTGAATTGTAATTCCCAGTGCTGGAGATGGGACCTCATGCGAGGTGTTTGGATCACAGAAAATTGGTATCAAGGAGTGGAGCATTGCTAGAAAGATACTGAAAATGTAAAGTTAACTCTGAACTTGGTAATAGGCAGAGGTCGGAAGATGTTGGAGGGCTCAGAAGAAGACAGGATGATGAGGGAAAACTTAGAATGTCTTAGAGACAGTTCAGTGGTTGTGACCAAAATGCTAATAGTGATATGGACAGTGAAGCCCAGGATTCTGAGGTCTCAGAAATGAGGAACTTACTGGGAACCGGAGCAAAAGTCACCCTTGTTATGATTAGCAAAGAGCTTAGCTGCATTCTGGTCATGCTCTAGGGATCTGTGGAAGTTTGAACTAAAAAGTGATGATTTAGGGCATCTGGCAGAAGAAATTTCTAAGCAGCAAAGTGTTCAAGAGATAGCCTGGCTAATTCTAACAACCTACCTCAGATGGGGGAGCAAAGAAATGACCTAATGTTGGAACTTATATTTCAATAGGAAGCGGAGTGTAAAAGTTTGGAAAATTTGCAGCCTGGCTATGTGGCACAGAAAGAAAAAGCTTTTTAAGGAGAAGAATTTAAGCAGGCTGTAGAACGACCACTTGCTAGAGACATTTGCATAACTAAAAGGGAGCCAAGTGCTGCTATCCAAGACAATGAGGAAAAAAGCTTGGAGGCATTTCAGAGACCTGCCCAGGAGCCCCTCCCATCATAGGCCCAGAGGCCTAGGAGGGCAGAATGGTTTCACGGGTCAGACCCAGAGTATCCATTGTTCTGCACAGCCTTGGGACACTGCTTCCCACATTGCACCTGCTTCAGCTCCAGCCATGGCTCAAAGGGGCCCAAGTATAGCTTGGGCTGCCACTTTGGAAAATATAAGCCTTGGCAGCTCCTACATGGTGTTAAGCATGCAGGTGCACAGAATGCAAAAATGAAGAACTCTTGGTGGTCTCCACCTAGATTTCAGAGGATGTATGAGAAAGTCTAGGTGCACATACAAAAGCTTGTTGCAGGGGCAGAGCCCTCACAGAGAACCTCTGCCACAGCAATGCCAAGGGAAATGCAAGGTTGGAGTCCCCACACACAGTCCCCTGTGGGTCACTGCCTAGTGAAGCTGTGAGAAGGGGGCCGTCATCCTCCAGAAACCAGAATGGTAGATCCACCACCAGCTTGCACTCTACACCTGGAAAAGCCACAGGCATTCAACTCCAACTGGTGAGAGTAGCCTTGGGGGCTGAACCCTGCAAAGCCACAGGGGCAGAGCTGCCCAAGGCTTTGGGAGACCATCCCTTGCAGCAGTGTGCCCTGGATGTGAGACATGGAGTCAAGGGGGGTTATTTTGGAGCCTTAAGATTTAATGACTGCCCTGCTAGGTTTTGCTTGCATCGGGTCTATAGTGTCTTCCTTTTGGCCAAGTATCCCTTTCGGAATGGGAATATTTACCCAATGCTGCCTATATATCCACTGTGTCTTGGAAGTAAATAACTTGTTGTTTTTTTTTTTTTATTTTACAGGCTTATTGGTAAAGGTACTTTACTGTCTCAGATGAGACTTTGGACTTTTGAGTTAATGCTGGAATGAGTTAAGACTTTAGGGGACTATTGGGAAGGCATGGTCATGGTTTATAATGTGAGAGGGACATGAAATTTGGGGGAGGGGGCCTAGGGGTGGAATGATAGAGTTTGGATATTTGTCCCTACTCAAATATCATGTTGAATTGTAATCCCCAGTACTGAAAGTGGGGCCTGGTGGGAGGTATTTAGGTCATGGGGGTGGATCCCTCATAGCTCAGTGATGTCTTTGCAATGGTGAGTGAATTCTCGTGAGAGCTGGCCATTTAAAAGTGCATGGCACCTCCCCCACCTCTTACTCCAGCTTTCACCATGTAACATGCCTACTCCCCTTTCACCTTCCACCACGATTGTAATCTTCCTGAGGCCTCCCTAGAAGCTGAGGAGACGTCAGCACCATGCTTCCTTTATAGCCTGAAGAACCGTGAGCCAATTAAGCCTCTTTATTTTATTTTTGTTTTTTTTTGAGACGGAGTTTCGTTCTTGTTACCCAGGCTGGAGTATAATGGGGTGATCTTGGCTTACTGCAACCTCTGCCTCCTGGGTTCAAGCAATTCTCCTGCCTCAGCCTCCTGAGTAGCTGGGATTACAGGCATGCACCACCATGCCCAGCTAACTTTTTGTATTTGTATTTTTTATTTTTATTTATATTTATTTATTTATTTTGAGACAGAGTTTCGCTCTTGTTACCCAGGTTGGAGTGCAATGGCGCGATCTTGGCTCACAGCAACCTCCCCTTCTGGGTACAGGCAATTCTCCTGCCTCAGCCTCCTGAGTAGCTGGAATTACAGGCACGTGCCACCGTGCCCAGCTAATTTTTTGTATTTTTAGTAGAGACGGGGTTTCACCATGTTGACCAGTATGGTCTCGATCTCTTGACCTCGTGATCCACCCGCCTCAGCCTCACAAAGGCCTCTTTTCTTTATAAATTTCCTAGTGGTAAGTATTTCTTTATAGCAATGCAAAAATGGCCTAATACACTTGGAAAAAGGTGTCAGTGAAAGCAGATGCTCAGATGGAGCTCTCCATTGGTTTTCACTCTCAGAACATTTGCTGAACCGAGTGAACTCCAGTTTTA